ATTTTTCACATTTGGATCCATTCTCTACAAAATGACCATACATTTCTTGTAACTAGCATATATATGTACATATAGATACATATATGTTCCACATATATGGAAAAGATGGTAAAGAATGGATCAAATATTATTTGTCACAGAACCACATAACATAGAAACATCTTACTTTAACTAACATATTTTATAGATCCAGCATCATAATTCGAGACATGATTTTGTATCTTTTTTCCACTAGAGGAAAATCTGCTTTGAAAAATGTTATTTCCTTTCAAAATAATTATTACATTGTTAAAAAAAATCATACCATGTCTAAGAAGACAAAATAAAGTGGGCATTAGTGGCAATACTTTGCATTTACTATTTATTTATAAGAAGTGATTTTAAGTGCTAACTTTTTTTTTGTTCTACATACTACTTGCATAATACTTTTGGGAAAATAATATACATTGTTTTCATTTAAACAACAGTATCAATGTATAATACATTGTCGCAATTTAAATATGAAATGTCTGATTGGATTGCAAAGTGTTGCCACTGAAATATTTTTTAATCAACACAGTTATATTACATTGAAATATTAAATAGGCATAAGAAGAACTATCCTTATAAAGTTATGGTCCTTTGCCTATAGGAACATTTAATGATAGAAAAGGAAAAAACAAATGCAGATCAATACACAGCTGAATACAGTAAAAGAAGTTGGCTTTTGAGATTTCCCAGGGGTAGGGAGTGGACTGTTAAGATAGTCCCAAAAGAGTGCGTCCTGGGATATCTTGTAAGTAGTTATTTCTTCTATTTATATTGAAGTATCATAGCCCATGTTAAAAGTGAGAGGTAGAAGGATTATTGTAAGTATGCATGGCAGAGAACTTACCAGCTATATCCAATAACTATTGCATTCAATATTAATCTCAATACATAAAAATGCTGATGAGTTTAGAACCCATTCTTATATGTTGTCCCCTTTAGCTCTCTTTATTATCTTGCTACTTTCAATCCATTGCCTTTGGAAGGGTATAAGTGCAAAGGGTATATTTGGGTTAGAATAGGAGAGAAAAAGAAAAATCAATCAATTTTATAAAAAAAAAAGACTCATTAAAAATGGATCTTAACTATTAAGGGTGGCCTATGTATATTCTTTGATTAAGTCCATATATTTCTATAATATACATACCACAGCCCATTAAAATATACCCAATAATCAAAGAAAGTTTTAAAATTCCAAATTTAAATAGATTTGAATCAAAATTTAAAATAAATTATTTCTTTCTCTCCAACATTGCTAAAATCTGGAACAAATAATCTTCATGTGTCACATAAGTAAGAAAACTTAAAGTAGTCTTTTTAATTGATTCTTTAATATGTGGGAACTGTGCATTAGAAATTTCTTGGATCTTTTTGAAGAATTCTTTAAAGTCCCTTTGCATTAAGTATTCAGCAATAGAATCGCAAATATTGCACTGAGTATTTTTCAATATTGCCAGCGTATATTTCAAAACAATTTCTATTATCTACACTAAGATTTCCTCTTTCCCAATATTCAAAATGCATATTATAATTACATGGGTATCCAACATCCATACACAGCAAGTACAAGATACTTACATGTACGTACACTGTAGTTACCTATATTTTGCATAGTTTTTAGTGTGTACTTTGTGCCACTTAATAAAAAGCATTACTCAATAATTTTTCATTAGGTGTTTATTTTAGCTGTGGTTGCCAGTTGTTTTTGATTTTTTTATGTTTATCAAAGATTACCATTTGCAAGGGGGAGAATATTGGGCATTTTAAGGGCTCTAATTGACAAGATGGTGGGGAAGTTGTAGTAAGATAGGAGGCTTTGTATTTTCTCCACAATTAAAAGAAATGTAATGTCAAATTTCAGTTCATCATTCTAAATTTTCCTAATGTCCAAGGGGGAGAAAAAAGAAAAAGAATTTAAAGTGTTCCCCTTAGTAACACTTTGCAATAAGTGGCACTAAATTACACGATAACTGCTATGTTACATGGAAGAGCCATCACCATCAACAGTTGCTGTACATGTGCCTATATGGAATCTCAATGCTGTTACAGTCATGAGTACATAATTACAAATGAGCCTGTCCTTTGAATTGAGATATTTATATTTTTACAAGGAAATAAAAAATAAATGAGGTGTTAGCTTCTTTGCCACTTTTAGGAAAGCTAATTTTCTTTCTCTACTTGTTATTTCAAATGTGGGGTTTCAAGGCAAGATAAAACATCTTGAATCGATATGAGATCATCCAGTTTCTACATTAATTCCATTTATCAGATTCCTTAAACTGTTTCTTGGATTCTCTGATAGAAGAAAAGTTGAAGTCTCTCTCTCTCTCTTTCTCTCTCTCTCTCTCTCTCTCTCTCCACACCCACACCCGTCCACCCATCCACCCGCCCACCCACATGCACACATATGCACACACACACACACAGTCATCACACACTCATGCCTACCATAAACACTTTTCTCATGCTCTGCATTTGCTCTTGTACTCACAAACTTTCCTTTTTCTTCCTTATTTTTATAATCACTCTATCTAGGACACTCAGAAATGGAAAAAAAGGGTATAAAGAGTATGCTGTTTACACGTTTCTGATGATGGGTAATCAATTTATGCTGTAAACAATACATTAGCAGAACATAACTACATTTGTTTAAAGAATAATGCTCAATATTCTACTAGGTGTGTATGTGGGGTGTGGAGTGGTTTAGGACACTCCTTACTCTGAGTTCTGGAGCTAATGGGCACACTAAACTGAGATAGAATTTGCCTTTATGTGCATACAAATATGAATGTTTCAGACACTGTGATTGATATGATTCCACTAAAATGTTACCTCATTTTTCCTGATTTTTAAAATGTAAAATTTTTAATTAGTAAATACAAAGTGTTAAGGATAAGAACATATCATTTAATTGCTTAGCTTTCAATAATAAAAATGATACCTAATTCAAATTCTTTTAAGTGAACTGGGAAAACATTTTATTAGAGCCCACAAATAATATTACACAAGTTACTGGTTTTTGTTTCTTTGTTTGTTTGTTTTTAGATTTTCTTTCATAGAGTTCCAGTGAATTTTTTCTATTACTCTAAAGCGTTAAAAGAGTCAAACATTTTGAAATGCACCAATTTGAGATTTCTAATTTTATACTGCTATAAATAATTATTGAGTTATTTAGGCAACACTTTAGCAGTTGGAGCCAAGTAGAATATAGATGAAATGAAGAGGGATGTAAATACAGCATCGATGAAGAGTAGCAATTTTGTAAGTGCATCCTGAAATTAGGCTTTAAATAGCAATTGATGATGCAGTTTATACAACTTACTTCTGTAATAAGGACCTTTCAATTTTGTACTAACAGGATGAATTTTGCTTTGTGGAGTCTTTCTAAAGATTATGCATTGAAAGATATGAACAGTTTATAAACCTATTCTAGTTTCAATGTGTCTAGTAGCACCTACCTGATTCTCTCAAACTACCATACTATATTAACATATTATTGCATTTTTCCACAGATGGTATGGAGTGAACTGTAAAAACAAGCATGCAATCACATCAATGCAGACTTATTTCCTTAAAATGTCATACTGTATATGATTTATTATGTTAACACTCAACCACATCATATTATTTATGTTCTGTATATTCTGAAAAAGTGCTGCTTGACTGACATCGTCCTTTTTCCTCTTGTAAGAAATCAACAAGATAAATGCTTCAACAATAAAAAACAATTTAAAAATTCTAAGGTTTTTAAAAGATTTATACTTCTGATAAATAATCTATGATACAGCACCCTTGTCTTTCATTTGATATTAATACATGATGTCATACTCAACCATTCTCATTCCCCAAAAATAAATTCCAAGCTATTATTTTTCAAACCATAGGCCATCATGTCTTTCAGACATCACAAGTATAGCTACCATGTTGTCATATTTATTTTCTTCTTAAAGGTGCAAAGTTTGTGAATGGGAAAATAATTTTCATTTAACTGGATTTTTTTAATCTTTAGCATATAATAAATTTAATTAGAACTAATCTAGCATAATTGAATTACTAGGAGAAATAATATGACTTTAGATTGACTCTGTGTCGTATTTAAGAATACAGCATTGCTTAATGGTTAAATACATCAAAATTTCAGAAATAATTCAGAGAAAGAGACTTTCACCTTGGAGTTAAAAGCATGGCAGAAATTCTCTATCACTCACTGTTTCATAAGTTTGTACCTCACAAAATGCATAGACAGGAATTTAATATAAAGAATTAGTTCATTTATACAGAAAACATATCTTAAACACGTCTTTTTGGCAAACCAACACAGGTATGCAGTAGTAGAACTGCCAAATTAAAATTTGTAATTTTTAGCAAACTAAGAGTGTATTTTTAGGTTATTATTCCACTGTGGTTGCAATTTAAAACCTGAGGCTGTGCACTGGTTGTTAGCTTAAAATTACCTTTCCTTAGAACATTGTGCTTCCATTGTATAACAAAAAAATTAACAAGAACTAGAAAAATTTGTTGTTGAACAGTGCTAGGACATACAGACAAAAATACTAATACAGGTTATCTACTTATAATATTGGTTTAAGTAATAATATCTAAAGGGATATCATGGACATTAGAAAATGCTTACTTATGACTGAATTACCTACAGCCAAAAAAGTTAAATATGTATCAAATAATGTTTAATTGGATTTATTATATGCACTATATACAGATACTAAAATGTCTCAAAATTGTGCCCTATGGATACTTCAATTTTGTTTCGGAAGGTGAGTTCTTGTGGAACAAATAAATTATAGAATCAAATTAAAGAAATGAATGAAATCTTTGTTATTCCCAAAGCAGTGAAATATTTGGGAGATTTATTGGTAAATGAAGCTAAAATAACCTAATGGTTGAATCTATATAATAATATAAGATGTCATGTTATGATTGCAGTCCATACAACATGGCCCCTGTATCAAATACTATAAATTTAAATAGAAAATTGATACAGCCTTACAGTGTAATCTCACATTCCAGAATCTACACTACAATGTTTTCAGTTTGTGTTTTCTAGGGCATATGTTTTCAAACATGTCTTTGAAAATAGACATGTAGAAAACATTTGTAAACCTCTAATCTGATTAAACTTAAGCTGATTAGGTATTTACCTAATCCCCTCCCTTGTGAAAGCTGACCAGTGGCAAACCGACGATGTCTATGATTTAAAGGGGGGAAATGAAAGGGAGAAAAAAAAACTAGGCATACATTTTTTCAATGTATAAAAACAATTCAATACCATGATCCAAGGAGGTGATTAACATTGTTAAGGCTGTATATTCAAGCACTGTATGTTAAAAGAGCAATGGTGTGGAATTTAGGCAGTAAGAAATGTCCTGCATTGTGGATGGTACAGTAATAAAAGAATGATGCTTTCAACAGCTGATTGTTGGTATACACTGGCTACTGAGAGCAGTACAGAATGGAAGTTAATAAAAGTAGCAGAAGATGGTAGAAATGAATTCTGAAAGATGATAGCCAGTTTCTCCAGCAGCCAGCCTGGTAAGTAAAACTCAGAATCTTGGCCTGCATTTTAAATGAAATACTCTTTTTTCTCTTCAGCATTGACTTGGCTGCCTTCAGCATTGATAATGGCTGTGTCAGCATCTGGTGCATCTTCAGCTCCTTTAGCTTCATTTGTTAAATACGTTCCTATGGGCATTGGACGAAACATATGTTAGTTCTGAGAGACTGATAAAATAGCCAGCATTAAAACTACAGTAATTTATTTAGCAAGAAACTTATGTCAGATTTCTTGTATGTGGAAATGTATTCTGAGATTTAACAATGCACACAATTCATCCTTCCCAAGTTGCATGCTTTCTTTCAGTGTTCAGGTATACAATATATATGAAGTTGTGTCCAGGTTAACTAGAAGTAACAGCTAAATGGGTGTGGGTAATGAGTACTTTGATTTTCTTAATGCTGGATACGGACCATGTGATCCATGCAGCTGTAGCAATCAGAGTCCTTTGTTAAGATGCTGATAATGATCACATCAAATATGCCACCATTCATTTTGGAAACTCCACTTAAAAGTAGTTATATCAATAGTTTCTACCTAGCCCATTGCAAAACATCACATACTTTCCTTAATAATACACACACATGTCTATAAACTTACAAATAAAAACATTAATTCTTTTCTGTCACTGGATTTCAACTCTAGATTGATAAATTTTTTAAAAATAAGTATTTTTTAAAGACATTGACTCATTCTGTGACTTTTGACCATTGAAAAAACATTATTTTTGTAAGGCAACTTAAATTCAATATTGAGAAAAATTTTCACAAATTCCCTGAAATAGTTTAGTGTTTATGTGATTCTTTTCTCTTCCTCACATTCTCTCTCTCTCTCTCTCTCTGTCTCTCTCTCTCTCTTCTCTCTCTCTCATGAATACACACAAAAACACCCATATAATATTTCAAAATAAATTTAGTGTTTGGTATTATTTTATCAAAGTTAAAAATACTTAACATTGTCAAGTTATTAAATATAACCAACCTTTATGTCTCGCCAGATATCGACCAAGCAGAAATATAGAGCACAGTGTGACAAACACCACTACAGCCACTATTCCTCCTATAAGAGCATGATCAGGACCAGTCTGGCCTGCCAGAGCATTAGGATCTAGAAAAGACAGGAAAATGTTGTTCAGGATAGTTACTATTTAATCACAGAACACATATTGCATCAGAATCAGATATTTAAAAAAATAACACATTTCCATTATAATACATTATCTCAATTATATAGTCAACACATATTTCCTTTATGCACTAATTCACAAGATACCTGCAGATACTGACTACTGACATTTGCATTTTATGAAAGAAACTAGGTAAAGAAATATGCACACGATAAAGTATTGTGCCTTTCCTTCTTTTCATCGTTCACCTCAAAGTACAGATTTCTTAGTGTGACAAATACAACTCTGAACTGTAATATATTTTTATTATTGGAAATATTACTTAATCCTAAAAATTATTTGCGATGGCTTGGGAAGATGATTCAAAGGGCTGGAGTTCATGATCCATGAATTTGACCTCTGGCAAAATAGATCTGCTGAGCATTATAAGGAGAAACCCCCCAAGCGCTGATCTTTGGGTAACCTTCAAGCAATATTGACCAGAAAACATATCTATCTATACACAAATAAATGTAGTATAGAAATCACATCCATCGATGCTTGGGGATATTTGGGGGCAAAGATCAAACTCATGGCAAATCAAACTGTCACAGGAATGGTTGAAGATAACCTTTTGAAACGAACTCCCAAAAATGAACTCCCAAAAATGAACTCGCCAAAATGAACAAAAATCTATTTAGATATGGAGAAGAAGGGGCCTGGCAACTGAGCACTGAGGAACTATCCTTTTAAAGGTCCATTAAAAGGAAATGCTTCCAGCAGAACAGACTGAGAAGGAGAGAACAGTGGAGTACTAAGAGATTTGGGAAAGTATACAGTAATTGAGCTAATTAAAGAATATACTAAGGATAGGGCAGTGCTACTGTCAAGCATTTATGTCAGTTATTTTTCATAAGAGTAGGAAGATGAAAATTCAATAATGAGGCTTAAGTGTCTATTGGACCTTAATGGAAATAATCAGAAACATTTATATTAATCATATGTTTTTACATTTTGCCTTCATAAAATAGGCAAATAAAATAGAAATATATGATCCCTGTCATAGACTACCTATTATCAAAAAGCAAGGTAAAGACTGAAATATATTGGCGTATCAAAAATTTGGCCATCAACGACCAAGACTCAGAGACTATAAAAACCAGCTCCCGGAAGAGAACAGTGCAGTCTCCTGCTCCTGTGCCTGGCTGTCCTTGCCGGGGCCCCTTGGAGGGGAGCGGGTTGAGCTTTCCTCCCCGCCCCGACCAGGGCTCCGGCAGCCAAAGACCTCCAGGACCAGCCACCACCATGCTGAGACCACTCTCCGCACAACTGAAGGTACCGGCAAAGGAACAAAGGCAAGCGGGACCCGGGCCGAGATCTCCAAGCCTACTCGAATTGGAGTCGAGCATCTTCCACCCAGATCGGGGCTGAGCATCCTCCACCCAGATCCTCCAAATTCCAGTAGGCGGGAGTCACACCCAACAACTGGCCCCCTGGCGCCGTGTAATCCCATCAATAGCCAAGACCCAGAGACTATAAAACCCAGCTCCCAGAAGCAACATCTTATTATCTCATTCCTACTTTGGACAAACTGGCAGGCTACCAAATGTAACCTGCCCACACGGCAGAGTCTGGCAAACTCCCCATGGTGTTGGGTAACATTGCTTTGTCCTTCAAGAAACTTAGGTTTAATCTGGTTACACCCATTAATCTGGTTACACCCATCAATCTGGTTACACCCACCACAGTGCTCCAGAGGCACTTCCACTTCCATTGTGTTTACATGTAAACATGTAAACAGTCTTCCCTATGCTCTCCTTCCCACCCAGTTAATCAGCTTTCCCCTTAATCAGACTTTGTTAATTTGTAAGATCAGTTTCCCAGAAATCTATGATTTTATATTTATGAGTGAAATATTGCCTTTCTCCTCTCCCTATGCCTTATGAATAGTTTACCTTAAAGTAATATCCTTTTTGTATAGATACAGGAAGACCGTTAACATTATGCTTTGTAATTTAGGATTTGATTGGCCTTGAATATTATTCACTCCCGGGCATCTTTTTCGACTTAAGCCTCAGTTGCCCTTAGTTCCTAACACCCCAAAAGCAGGGTCCCGACGAGGGACTGAATGGACCCAGGGCAAGCAGTGAGCTACCCTGGCAGCGAAATGGGCCAGGCCAAAGTGCCACAATTCTTAACTATAAGTTAAGAGTTTGATCATGGACAAATGCTGTCATGATCCAAGGTAACGACAAGACTAGGATCCTGCTAGGGGTGGGAAAGACTATCTGGCCTGAGCACCGTAGTCCGAGATCAAGATGGCCCTAGGAGAGCAATTCTATAAGTTTAAGATATTTCTTACTGTATCCATACAAAATGATTTATATTATATTCTTGTACGCTTGTCGACAAGGAGAGGAGAGGCACGCCCATGGGATTCTGCTCTAGGGTGGGTCCTCCTGCTGAGGAAGGATCTGTCCTAGGAGTGGTCTTCCCTGAGGCTAAAATTTCTACCCCTGTTGATCTCTACCCCTATTGACTGTGACCACACCTATGTAATTGTTTTCCCCAATTCCTCTTGGAGGGAGATATAAGGAGACAGTAGATTGGGCAAGGGGGGGCAGAGATAGAGGGCAGAAGGAAGAAGAGAGTTCAGAGAGGATCAGAACCCAGACTCCAGAGAAGGAGGATGAAGGGGAATGGAGAAGGAGAATGAAGTAGCTGGGGGAGGAAGAATGGGGGCAGAGATAGAGAGACAGATGAGGAGAGAATCAGAATAAACTACGACTAATACCTACCAGCCTGGCCCTCGTTCCTTCCTCTGCCTGACCATCACCATCGACCTCTCCGGGGTGGGAGAAGGGTGAGACTACCGAACGCGGGTGGCGGGAGAGATAGAGCCACCGCCGCTGAGTTGGGTGCCGTGCCCCCTCTTTGTGTGAGTTTACACACCATGGTATACACAATATGCCAAATACCAGTAACAATGATGGGTCTCATTCTCCTAACCCTGAAAGAGCCTTGAATATGGCACTTTTTATAAAAACTCAGGGCTAGGACGAAGGAGACGTTACTGGGGCCTGCTCGAGGCAATCGACGAACAACAGGATGGTCATGATCGTGATCGTGATTGTGCTAAAGAAGCACATGTCTAGGTGGGAAAAGTGGTTGATTATCTCAAACTAACGCTGGATGCCCAAATTTGGTAAAAGCAAACTATATACTCCTTATAGCACTGTCTGTAGCACTGTCCTCCCATTGTTCATCGATTTGCTCAAGCGGGCCCGGTAACACCTCCAATGTGAGACTTGTTGTTACTGTGTTTGGCGTAACGAATATGTCATGGGGAGCTTGCCAGACTTTGCTATGGGGGTGAGATACTCTCAGTAGCTTGCCAGACTCTCGAAGATGGGCGGAGGAATCGAATCCAGGTCTGCCAGGTCAGCTGCATGCAAGGAAAATGCCCTACCCACTGTGCTATCGCTCCTTATGTAGGACAAATTCTCAACCACCTATATCAGATATTATCTGATAAGTTTGTCACTGTCACTGTCACTGTCACTGTCACCCCGTTGTTCATCGATTTGCTTGAGTGGGCCTAGTAACGTCTCCATTTTGAGACTTGTTGTTACTGTATTTGGCATATTGAATACGTCACGGGTAGCTTGCCAGGCTTTGCCATGCGGGCGAGATACTCTCAGTAGCTTGCTGGGCAATCTGAGAGGGGTGAAGGAATCGAACCCGGCTCAACCGGGCTGGCTGCACGCAACTAAAACACCCTACTGCTCTGCTATCCCTCCATCATGACAAGTTTAAATTCCCCATAACATAGATATGAACAAAGCAAAAAAGAGTGAACAGAAGAAAATCCAGTTTCTTCAAGGAACAACAACCATTATCACATCTGAGAAGAATTTTAAAACTACCCAGCCATGTTTTCAAAATTGCTATGGATCAGTGACTAGCCAGTCCATTCTTTTTGTATTGTCATATGAGGGCTTTCTCATAGGAAACAACCTCATGACTGTTCCGTTATTTTGTTCTGTGCATTGGTGGAGAGTAGCCTTAATGATTTCCCCTTTGTTTAAGTTGTTTCTGAATCAACATATCCAAATGTAAAGTTGATTTGCATATATAAAGCTCTTGGTCTTGATATGAGTGGGATTAGCAGGATGGATGGGACTTTAGACTTTTTCTTTCCTTTACCTCCTTTATTTTTTTAATTTAATTTTTATTAGTGAAACACCATGAGGTACAGTTGTAGACTTACAAATTTTTGTGCTTGGATTTCAATTATACAACGATCAAACACCCATCCCTCCACCAGTGCCACCACCACGGGTCCCAGTATCCCTCCCATCCCCCCAACCCCCCACCCCACCCTGCCTCTGTGGCAGGGCATTCCCTTTTGTGTTCTCTCTCTCCTTTTGGGTGTTGTAGTTTGCAAAAGAGGCATTGAGTGGCAATCATGTTTGGTCTATAGTCTACTTTTAGCATGCTTCTCCCATCCTGGGAGGATCCTTCCTCCTTTTTTTTATTAAATCATCATGAGACACAGTTACAAAGCTTGGTTTGATTGGGTTTCAGTCATACAATGTTCCAACACCCATATCTCCACCAGTGTACATTCCCCACCACCAATGTCCCCAGTATCCACCTACTAGCCAACCCACCTCACATCTACCCCAAATTTTTTTTAGACAGGACCCAAAAGTGTTTTTATGTGATAAATGAGGTTCACTTGATCATTTGACACCCCATTACTCATCGATTTGCTAGAGCATGCGCCAGTAACATCTCCATTTGTCCCTGTGGAGTGCTAGTGTAGCACAACGGTATCTGCTCGCTCTAGGAACACAAAGAACCTCAAATCAATTGTTCAGAGTCTTGATGAAGAAGTCTGACCATCTCGTAGGTGGGTGGCTCCGGGATCTTTTGACATCCCGTGGAATCCAGTCAGTAATGGCTCTAGTCCAGCAGTTGTCTCCAAATCGCATTACCT